GAAATTTTGAGGATCCTTCTGAAAGAAACCGAGAGCCAGTCAGTATGTGAGGAGAGGAATAACTTGATCATGTATCAATATTTTATTTTAAAATAACTCTGTGGGGACGATGTAAGACAAACCAAATAAGGAAGGCATGAAGACACAGCAACATTGAAGGTTTGGTGGCCATAGGATTATGCCTGGCAGATCTTCAAGTGCAGGAAACTGAATTGATCAAGTACCCCAGAGGGCTCTGGAAACCTCTCTGGCATTTGCCCTGAATCCATTATTATTATTATTATTTTTAGAAGAACATATTTTTCTTTTTAACTTTTTTTTTTAATTGCATTTTAGGTTTTGGGGTACATGTGAAGAATATGCAAGATTGTTGCATAGGTACACACATGGCAGTGTGATGTGCTGCCTTCCTCCCCATCACCTATATCTGGCATTTCTCCCCATGCTATCTCTCCCCAACTCCCCACCCCCTGCTGTCCCTCCCCTATTTCCCCCCAACAGACCCCAGTGTGTGATGCTCCCCTCCCTGTGTCCATGAGTTCTCATTGTTCAACACCCACCTATTAGTGACAACATGCGGTGTTTGATTTTCTGTTCCTGTGTCAGTTTGCTGAGAATGATGGTTTCCAGGATCATCTATGTCCCTACAAAGGACATGAACTCATCGTTTTTGATAGTTGCATAGTATTCCATGGTGTATATGTGCCACGTTTTCCCTGTCCAGTCTATCATCGATGGGCATTTGGGTTGGTTCCAGGTCTTTGCTATTGTAAACAGTGCTGCAATGAACATTCCTGAATCCATTCTTCCTGCAGGTTGCTCACGGAGAATAACCAAGCATGGAAAGAATACAAGGCTAGGTCTGCTCCTGAAAACATGAAGTTCTCTGACAGCTAACTGATTCAATGACTTCTTGATTATCTCATGAACCATCCTTAGGTGCAGATCAGTCTAAAACATTTTATGCAACCTCCCATGTCTCCTTCACTCAGGGTCAGATTTGCATCACAATTTCATGACTCTCAGCCCTACTTGACTTTCTCCCTGTTATCAATGATGGCATGTCTTGCAATAAAATCTTTACACATTTCACCTTGCCATGGCTTCTACTTGGAGGACAGAACAGTAGTGTGCTGGAGTCAGTTTAACAAGCTGATGAGAACCAACATTTAACTTTGCAGGAATTTTACAAGCCAGCTTTTAAATATAATCATTATCATTATCAAAAATTAAGTTATGTAAATCTACAAGTAGATATATTAGCAACAATGTTACAAATATTCTAAACTTATTGTTTGCTAACTATTATATTATTCTGTTATTTAGGCTTCCAAAGTTATTTCTAATAGAGCAGGTAATATACAATATAATGACGTTCTGCTGCACACATGGCTATTGCAAGGATATTTATGCCATGGAAATCAACAAATGCTACAAACCAGTATTTGTTTTTTCCTTTCTTTCTATCACCTTTTTATTTCAAAGAGCTAGTTGTGAAACACTTGCTGACACACCACTTATCCGCATTCTCATAGAGGACCAAAATAATATGGTCAAAGCAAAAGGATAACAGAGAGCCTTAATCAAGTATCTTTTTTTGTTTTTAACATTTTTAACATAGCATAGAGTGTATAAATTTTGTTGTAGAATAAAATTATACATATGTAACATAAACAACATGCAGTTTTAAAGTACATATGTTGTGGAATGACTAAATTTAACTAAATAACATATGCGTTGCCTCACATAGTTATCATTTTTATGGTAAGAACACTTCCATTCACTCTTACTGTTTTTCAAGAAGACAATATATTATTAACTATGATCAGCATGTTATACAATAGATCTCTTCAATTTATTCCTCCTCTAGCTGAAATTTTGCATCCTTTGATCAACATCTCTCTAAATCCCACACCTACCCACCAACCACTGCAGCCACGGGGAAGCACCATTCTACTCTCTACTTTTATGGGATAAACATTTTAAAATTTTGCATTTGAGCAAGCTCATGACGTGCTAGTCTTTCTGTGCCTGGCTTAGTTCACTTAACATATTGTCCTTCAGGTTCCATTATGTTGTTGCAAATGACAGGATTTCTTTCTTTTCATGTCTGAATAGTATTTCATTGTATATATCACATTTTCTTTATCCATTTATCCATTGATGGACAATTAGTTTGATTTCATGCCTTTTTTATTTTGAATAATGCTTCAAAAAACATGGCAGTGCAGATATCTTTTCAACATACTGATTTCAATTACTTTGTATATATACTCAGTAATTGGATTGCTGGATTATATGGTAGTTCTATTTTTAATTTTTTGAGGAAACTCTATACTATTTTCCATAATGAATGTACTACTTTACATTCCCACCAACAATGTATAAGAATTTCCCTTTCTCCACATCCACAATAGCATTTGTTATCTTTTGTCTTTTGATAATTGCCATTCTAACAGGTGTGAGGTAATATCTCACTGAGGTTTTGATTTGCATTTCCCTGATGATAAGTGATGTTGATCATTTTAATCACACACCTATTGGCTATTTGCATGTCTTTTTTTGAGATATGTCCATTCATGTTCTTTGCCCATTATTTAATCAGATTATTTGTTTTCTTTCTGTTGAGTTGTTGAAGCTTTTTATGTATTTTGGGTATCAACACCTTATCGGATGTACCATTTCTTTTCTACAATTTGGTAAGTTGTCTTTTCACTCTGTTTAATGCAGGTGTCTCCAAACTACGGCCTGGGGGCCGCATGAGGCCCCCTGAGGCCATTTATCTGGCCCCCGCCGCTGCACTTCAGGAAAGAGCACCTCTTTCATTGGTGGTCAGTGAGAGGAGAACAGTATGTGGCGTTCCTCCAATGGTCTGAGGGACAGTAAACTGGCCCCCTGTGTAAAAAGTTTGGGGACGCCTGGTTTAATGTTTCCTTTGCTGCACATAAGTTTTTAGTTTAAAGTAATCTCATTTGTCTATTTCTTATTTTTGTTGTCTGTTCTTTTTATGGCCTGTCCAAAAAATCATTGCCCACACCAATATCATAGAGCTTTTCCCCTAACGCTTTCTTGCACTAATTTCACCAGTAAAGGGAAAAACACCTATAGTGAGCATGGATACAACTCCAGTAAACATACTGCACATACTTACCTTCTAAGCACTAGTAGGCCACTGCCCATGTGGGCAAGCCACTCCAAGAGAAGAATCAGTGGAGAAGGGAGCAAATACCTGAGAAGTAGGCCAATGTATAAAACCCAAGTCAAAAGATCAAATCATACACTGGTCCTTCAAGTTGCCTGCCTGTCCCTCTTCCAAGTGTACTTTCCTTCCTGTTCTAAAGCTTTTTAATATAATACCCTTTCACTCCTTCTCAAAAACTTGACTCGGTCCCTGCTTCTGCCTTATGCCCCTCAGTCAGATTTTTTCTTTTGAGGAGTCAAGAATTGAGGCTCCTACAGACTATATGAATTTGCCACTACTAACACAATGTTGTAATTTGAGATCTTCTTTATAATGTAAGTATTTATTGCTATAAACTTCCCTTTTTAGAATTGCTTTGGCTTTATCCCATAGATTTTTGTATGTTGTGTTTCACTTTAAAATTTTTTTAAAAATTATTTTTTGTACTTTCTTCACTGACCCATTGATTGTTCAGAAACATGTTGTCTAATTTCCATTTTTCTGTGACTTTTCCAAAGTGCTTCCTGTAATTGATTTCTACTTTTATAACATTGTGTTCAAAAAAGAAACTTGATATGATTCCAATTTTCTTAAACCTGCTGACTTGTTTTGTGTACTATTATATGATCTATTGTGGAAAATGTTCCATGTGCTGTTTAATACATATCTGTAATGTCCATTTGATCTACAGTGTAGTAAAAGGCTCATGTTTTCTTATTTTCTGTCAGTTCATTGATAAAAATGAGATGTTTAAATCTGCTACTATTATTGTATTGCAGCCTCTCTTTCCTCAGATCTATTATTTGTTTTATGTATTTAGGTGTTCCAATGTTGAGTGCATATATAATTACCATTGTTATATTACCTTAGTCAATTGACCTTTTATCATTATGAAGCAGTGTCATTGTCCTGGGTAAATACCTGGGGCTCAATGTCTCATGCAAAGAAGATTAAGGACATGGACATACACAAGGAGTGAGTTTAGGAGTGCAGATTTAATGTGCAAACAAAGAGAAAGGAGAATAGCTCTCACTTGTGAGAGAGAGGGGCTCCCAAATGGGAATTCCAGCCTGGAGTAGGAGTGCACAGGCTTTTATAGGCCAGCTTGAGGAGATGGTGTCTGATTTACATGGGTCCCACACATTGGTTGGACCAAGTGTGATAATTACATAGCATGCAGGGAAGCTGGCCACCCCACCCTAATCTTATTAAACACATGTGGTCTTTGCTTTGGCCAGCACCATGTTGCCTGCTCCTTACTGTACACACGACTGGCAAAGAGAAGGAAGAAGGGAGCCATCATTTTGAATAAGCCTTGTTTCAGATAGCCTTTTCCCATTAGCACAGCTGCCAGCAAATCAACTGTGCAAGCTTCTAGCCTGCTTTTCTATGTCTGCAGCTTGATTTTCCCAGCTGCTTTTTGTTAGAAAAAGAAACTTACTTGGGATCTGCTTTTCATTAAAAGGAAAACCTTATCAAGGACTTCCTTACCCTCACTATCTGCCTAAATAATTTCTTTTTAATTCCTGTATCAATTATATAAAATGACCTGCTTTGTCTCTTTTTTTAGTTCTTTATTTAAAGTCTACTTATCTTATGTAAGTATTGCTAACCCTCCTTTCTTCTGATTTCCATTTGTGTGGAATATTTTTTCTATCCCTTCACTTTCAGTCTGTTTTTGTCTCTAAAGGAGAAGTGAGTCTCTTCTAAGCAACATATAGTGGGTTCTCATTGTTGCTATTTTTTTTATTCAGTCACTTTTTATGTCTTTCAATTGGATAATTTTATCCATTTATAATCAAATATGTAATGACTTACTATGGCTATTTTGTTAATTATTTTCTAGTTATTTTGTAGATCTTTTGTTTCATCATCTCTTGCTTCCCTTCTTTCTGGCAAAGTTATTTTTTGTAGTAGTATGTTTTGATTCATTGCTTTTTGTTGGTGTGTGTGTGTGTGTGTGTGTGTGTGTGTATCCACTACTGTATAGTTTTTTGCTTTGTGGTTACTATTAGGCTTTTACAAAATATTTTGTAGCTATAACTTGTAATTGTCATTTAACCTTCATACTAAAAATATGCGATTTACATACCACTATTATAGTATTACAGTATTCTGAATTTGACTGTGTACTCACTTATACCAGTGATTTTTATGCTTTCAGATGTTTTTATGTACCCATTAGGATCCCTTTCTTTTAGCCTGAAAACCCTCCTACAGCATTTCTCGTAAGACAGGTTTGGTGATGAACTCCCTTAGCTTCTGTCTCTATGAAAAAGTATTGATATTTCTCTCTCTTTCATGTGTGAAGGATAGCTTTCTTGGTTGGCAGGTTTTTTTGTTTGTTTATTTGTTTGTTTTTCCATCAGCATATTGAATATATCATCCCATTCTCTCCTGGCCTGCAAGGTTACTGCTGGCAGGTCTGCTGCTAGACTGATTGGAATACCCTTAAATGTTATTTGCCTCTTTTCTCTTGCTATTTTCAGAATCCTCTTTATGTCTTCGATTTTTTGAAATTTAATTATAAGTCTTGAAGTAGTCTTTTTTAGATGGACTCTGATTAGATACCTTTGACTTTCATATACCTGGATATTTATGTCTTTCTCCAGGTTTAGAAAATTTTCTGTTACAATTTTTCAAAGAATGCATTCTATCCTTTTCTCTTTTTCTTTTTTCTTAACTTCTATGACTCAAATGTTTACTGTTTTGATGCTATCCTATAAATCCTATAAATTTCTTTATTCCTTTTCACTCTTCAGTTTTTTTTTCTCTTCTGACTATATATTTTCAAGTAACCTGTCTTCAAGTTTAAAGATCTCTTTTCTGCTTAATCTGGTCTGCTGTTGATGCTGTGCATTGCATTTTTCATTTTGTTTATTGTATTTTTCAGGTCCAGGATTTCCTTTAGATATACAAACTCTCCATTTTATTTCTCATATTGATTGTTCTAGTCTCTTATTTTTTTACTCATGTTATTGAAATGACTGTTTTTTTTCTTTAAGTTCACTGAGCTTTCTTAAAACAGTTGTTTCGAATTATTTGTCAAGCTCTTCGTATAATTCCACTTCTTTAGGGTTAGTAAATGGCACCTTACTTTGTTTGTTTGGTTGCATAATGTTTACTAATTGTTCATGATTTTTGTGTTTGTACATCAATGTCTGTGAATTTGAAGAAGTGCTTATTCTAGTCTTTGTAAACTGTAAAGCCCTACAAAAAGTCCTGTAGCAGCTGTGGCACTAGGGTGCTCCAAAAGCCAGGAAGAGCTTCAATCATCACAGTTCTGTCAGAAGCCTAGGTTCTCCTACAGCAACACAGTCCTGGGGTAGGCCAGAAGCCCAAGGCAAGATATGTCTATCATGGCACTGAGATATTTCAGAAACTCAAGGTCACTGAGGGCTATCTGGGTCCTGGAGTCACTGACATCTGCCTGGCAGTGGGGCAGGCAAGAGATCAAGTCCAACAAGCAAACCTGAGGCCTGGAACTGTATGATTCTTCCTGGAATGGGGCAGTCTAGAGGTTCCATTTATAGGTACTAGCCTAGATTATGGGGCCATGGGCATCTGCCTGGTGCTTGGTTTTACTGTGGCAGACCCAGTTGTTGGGAACCAAAGAAATGTCCCATGCTCGCTTCCCTCTTTTCACCAAGTGGATAGTATTTCTTTCTGCACTGCGCTGCCTAAGCTTGGGCATATAGTGATGTAGGTAATGTAAAATTTCCATTTACCCTTTTCAATGCATCTTTTTTATTATTGTGCTACATCAGGGTACTTCAATCTCTTACCTGATTTTCTTCATTTATGTGCATAAGTGTGCGTGTGCACTTGCATGTGTGCGTGTGAATAGTTGTTAAAATTGGTATTTCTTTACAGAAATGATCCCGAGGGAGTTCTACTCCATTATTCCGTTTTACATATTACCTATCAACAATTTTTAAAGGAAGAAGAAAATGAAATAAAATTCCAAAATATAATAGAATTTAAATATAAATCCAATTCAATTTCAACAGTATGAAAAAGAAAATGGAAGCCTAGATTGGCTTATGCTTACATAATTAAACAACACTGGAGACAGAACTAATTTAAGAGAAATAAAATGAAACAAAGCAAATATAACCTGTAATATACAGAAAAAGATAAAGTGACATAAACTTATAGTTTCAAAGCCACTATATTTTCCTAGTCTCCTTCATTTGCTCTTTTGTCTAAACTGATGTTAGAATAGAGCTTTTTGGAAGGAAAAAATAAATATTACTTTTGGACATATAATTTATTTCAGTTCTATCTTCATACATCTTAATTTAGACATCTTATATGTCAAGTTAAGGAATAAACCAAAACTGTGTTGCCTGGGCTGTCTGTCCAATGTCTCAGAACAAAAGTAACTCAGATGCTTCTAAATAGAAGCACTTGCTTTGGGATTAAAAAGAAATCATCCAAATTTGGAGATGTGTGACAAATGTTTTGCATTTTATTTTCTTTAACAGGAAGCTGAGTCACTGTCACAGTGATTTCCAGACTGATTTGTAACACCTCTGTAACATTCCATGAAATTTTCAAAATAAAATTTGCTTCAATTCATCTCCATTTTTAAAATATAGCAATTTTAGGGCAAATGTGATTGGTGAAATATACTCCTATTGTATTTGAATGGAGAATTTGAAATAGAATGTGAATCACTTCTGTACAGAACAAACTCCCCTAGTCTTAAAAGTAAGGCTAACAAAAATATCTGATACCCTCTGATTTTATTTACTCATCTTCTGCCTGCATCTCAAATCTTCCCCTGGCTGATTATATATGTAAAGTGCTCTCTAGGGCAGTGGCATTCCAAATGTGATCCTCAAACCAGCAGCTTCATATGAGAACTTATTTAAAATACAAATAGTTAACCCTAACCTCAGATTAACCAAATTCAAACTTCTGCAGTGGAGTTCAGGAATGTGTGGTGCAAAAATCCTCCAGGTGAGACTACTGCACTATGAAGGGCAAGAATCACTGCCATTGCTCTTGGTATTTAAGTTTCTGATGGGATCTAAGAAGTGAACTAGGAACTTGAAGACTTCTAATAATGTGCTATTACGTGACAAATTGATCTAAGTTAATACCGGTATATACACACACAAACATGAAAATGTGCATGTGTGTGCGTGTTATCACATATCAAGAAAAATAAAACATGCTACTCTTTACCAGATGTTTGCAAATATCCAGGTGCTCTTTGTTGGACAGCCATACATATTTTTCATCTATCCATCTATCAGAAATCATATAAATGAATTAGTTTCTGTTAACTTATTAATTATGACACTCACAACCACATACACACCATGAGTATTCCCTGCATTTACTTGACTTCAGGGCATTCTTTTCTGAGACTATTATGATCAAATTTGTTGGACACTGGGGGATTCCTAGAGGCTATGGGGAGCTCTCATACTTTAGTTTATCACTAGTTTATCTCCCTGACAATACTCAAAAAATTGCAATCTCCAGTGTTTCCCTGCACCACAACTGGATTCTCACTATACATTGGTGGTTCCCAGACTTTGTTCTTCATTGCACATCTCATGGAATTATTCCATATATTCCCACAAATGAGGCCACATATTGCAAGATTTTGTCTAGGAAGATATATTAAGCAATACTAACTTAGTTTTCTTAGACCCATTAAAGGCCTAATTAAGAGGTCAATCAAAGCTTCTGATTAACACAAGTTACCAGTTACTCCCTCAGCATTTTGTTTTATAATTGAAGTTTGAGTAGCCATTTCAAAGCTATATTTATAGATTCTTACAGAATTCTTTAAATATTGGAAATAATACTTTCTTGCTTAATATGGCCTGCAAAATCCCAAAGGAAAGATACTTCGCTTCTCTTAATTCTGCTGATGGTATTTTGCACAAATATACTGTCTGGGTCCAACCATTCAAAGACTTTTATTGCTTTGCCAATAGAGTACAAAATTACAGGACAAAGGCCTGGTTTTCCCCCTTTATCTTCCTCCCCATTTTCATCCCTGCCCTTGTTCTCTAAACTCTGGTCATCCTGACTTTCTTTCAGTTTGTCAAATGGGTTTTCTCTTTACTACCTCAGGGCCATTGCATATGCTCTTCCTGCCCCCTTTGCGTGTCAGTTTCTACCATTAAACTCTCAGTTCAATCATCTCTTCCTGAAGATACTTTCCTAAAGTTTCTTTTTGCCAGCTCCACAGCTAGGTAAGCTTTCCAAAGTATTATCCTTTATTGTTCTACTTTTACTTCACTTCAAACTATAATAATACACTAATATAATTATTTGGTTTATTATTCTCCCTCCAGAATGCAAGCTTTATGGCAATAAAAGTCATATTTGATTTGCTCTCTTTGGTATCCTTAGTAGCTACCATGGTGCTCAGTACATAATAAGGGCTCAATACATATTAGTTAAATGAATAAATGAACAAATAAATTAGCTGGGCAAATGCCTTGGGTTTTTAACTAAGGTTGAGATCAGCAGTAATTCATAAAGAGGCTCATACTGGAAGTAAACAATCTCTACCTCTCAAGCTGATAGAACTTCAGAGTAATAAAAAATATCACTGTTACTGGATTTTGTCACTTCACATTGAAATTTTTAATGACAAGAGAAAATGCTCTTTTTAAAATCTGATTAAAATGCATAAAATGCATTTTTATTTTCAATGTGATCTCAAATGTGTCATAATATAAATGTATGTCAGAATGGAATCCTCTGTCTCCTTTACCACTTTATCTTACCATTGTCCATCCTAGCTGGGAAGGTAGACTTTAAAATGCATTCAAATTGTTATAAAAGACAACCAACAATAAGGTCAACAAAATAAACAAGTGCTTTCTATATGTCAGGCACAATTCCATATGTTTTGTAAGTAATTACAGTAAATCCATAAGATCTATTTTTAGTTGTTTTGTTTACTATATAGATGCTCCACTCTGAAAACTGTAGGTATCTGATGTTGCCCTCCTTGTTTTGGGGGAACATTTCAGGAAGAGTTTACTCTAGACATGAGCACAGGAGACACAGACAAGATCATAACAATCCGGGACCCCGAAAACACTCTAGAATGAGGGGAGAAAGATGGGGAAGAAGAAGAAAGAAGGTAGAAAGAACAATTGGGAAAGGACATCTGAGAATCTAATTAAACAGATTCAATATCAATGGAAAACATTCTAGGAGGGAATAGTAAAGAAATATTTTGGTACTGCAGTTTTAGACTCCAACATAGTTGTCAGCTCCGAGGAGAAAAGGATTATGTTGATAATAGACTGTGCCAACATTAAGTCCCAGATGTTGGGGAGCAACAAGGAGATGCACACACATATGTACACACACACACACACACATACACACACACACGCACAGATAATTAAGGACTAGAAAGGAATGGACTCACATTCACACTGTTTTCCTCTTGTAGGGAGTTCATAAATGATTGTCATTTTACTGTTTGTATTATGTTAATGATAATAATTTCTAAAGTGAAATCAGAAATTGCCAGAACACATATTTCTATATGCTATGATTTTGTCAATATAAGCATACTTTGCTGTCATGGTTGTTTGCCATGTTTATGTGTTCATGCATAGTTTCAAAGACCCCTGAGGATGTGAATATTATAGACACAGTCAGAGCATAAGCAAATTGCAAAGGGACTTGTGTTCACTCATTAAATCCATGCTCAGTTTTAAGTGCAGCTTAGGTTATGGTTGAACAAGGGCAGTGGGAGAAAGAGAGTTGAGGAAATTCAAATTCATTTGAATAATGCTGCACTTGAGGAAAAGGCAAGATTTTTGAGCTAATTTTCTTATTTCCTTCTATACAGGCACTCATGCATTCAACAAATTTACTAAATGCCAGCACGACCAAGGACTGCAGGGCAAAACGGAGCTTAGGCTTCAGCAGACCTAGAGAATGTGTAATTTATGTAAGACATCTGATATTCAGCCTACTTTGAATTGCTTTTTTCCTAAAACAATCTAATGATCTTTCGACAACAACGCTCACTTCTCAGTCATACTAAACCCAGGTGATTTGACAAGAACTGAACCTTCTTTAGGGATAAGCACATGACCCAAATCTTGCCAATGATAAAATAATAACACCCCCAATGTATACACACATACCAGAAATATTAAAATTAGTTGTTTTAGAAAGGCATGTGATCCAAACCAACCTGAGACTGATTCCTAAATATGAGTTAATTAATAACTGTTATTACAAATCCATAAATGAAGAATGAAGAATGATTTCAATAAACTAAAACTTATTTCTTGCACAAATAAAGTCCAAGATTGTTTTTCCTGATTGTTAGCTGGTTCTTCTCAAAATAGTCGTTTAGATGGTAAACATGATGAAACCCTGTCTCTACGAAAAATACAAACATTAGCTGGGCATGGTGATGTGTGCCTGTAATACCAGCTACCTGGGAGGCTGAGGCAGGAGAATCACTCGAACCCGGGAGGTAGAGGTTGCAGAGAGCTGACGTCATGCCACTGCACTCCAGCCTGGTGACAGAGCACAACTCCGGCTCAAAATAAGTAAATAAATAGACATTAAGAGAGTTGGGCTCCATTCATGTATGGCTTCACATTTTTAATACTTGGTTCCTAAGGTCATAATGTGGCCATTAAGCTGAAATTAAGAAGTGGAAGAGTATGGAAAATCACTGTGGTGGAATTTTATGGACTCCCCTGGAAGTAATGTGCATGATTTCTGTTCACATTCCATTGACTAGCATGTTACCTCCTGGCCCACTAAAGGAGAGGCTGGTAAATGTAGTTTTGCTGAGAACCGACAAAAAAGAGAAACTAGATTTGGGAGACATCTAGGTAGTCTCCAACATAGAGACTTTTCTAGATTTATTGAGGAAAGGATACATCTTTTGACACATGAGTTAGTTTTGGAATTCTAAATTTTATCTACTATCTTAATCTTGTAAATAAAAACATCAACGCCCAAAGGCAAAGCCAGCTTATAAAAGCAGGGATGGCATTTTACTGTCACCAGGATCAGAACTCAAGGGCTCAGTGTCGTCTTGCATTCTACCCATGATACTACACTATGAAACTCTGAGTCAGCACCCAAAACACTCAAACCTTTCTTTTGGTGGGATAGCAAACTCACAAGGAGTCCTTACTCCTCCAGTCCAACCAATCCATTCATTCTCCAGGGTTCAAAAAGAGAGGACAAGAAATACCAATATGAGTGATAGAAGGTCTCTTGAACTCCCTCCCCTATTCAAGATTCCCAATTTCTAATATTAAAATTGGGGCTATTCCCTCTGAGTGGAAAGTGGGGGGTTGTCAAAAACAGAAATGGGGGACTTCAGGAATGACTGTAGACATGGATCCCCGTTGGGCCCCGCAAGCAGGTCTGCAGCGTTGCTGGGTGGGAGATAGCTCCAGCCACGAGCCTGGCTGGGGTTCCTGACGGCTGGGGCCTCCCCAACCCTCAGCAGGCCCGGGGCAAGGCTTGCAGGAATGAGTATCAGCTGAGCAACACCAAACGCAAGCACAAGCACGACTGGACCCGGTGCCTGAGCATGCTGGCCGGCGTCCAAGTCACGCTTCGCCAAATGTTCAAGGGCTGCAAGTCGCTGAGCCATTGAAGATCGTGATACTGCTGGTGGGACCTCCATGAAAGCGACACCCTCCCTCGCCTTGGACCTCGCCTTGTGCTATTTTTGCAGGGAGCTGGGGAGCAGGAACTCTTCGGACCTGAGTGCTCTCCATATTGTGGGGTTGAAATCTGGATGAGAACTTACCAAGGTCCCTTTTGTAAGCTTTTGAATTAGGAAGAATTCTGAACCTAATCAACAGACCACAGGACAGTACAATGAACCGCAGTGTACCCAGTACACAGATCTGACGACCATCTACCTACAACCCATCCGTGTCCCATCCCAGGTTCTTTTGAAGCTTATCTCAGGCATCGGATTATTTCTTCTGTAAATATTTCAGAATCTATCTCTTCAAGATAAGAACTCATTAAAGCGTAATTACAAAGCTTATCATCCAAAAGAGTCATCAATAATTTTGAAATATTATTAAATATGTAATAACTGTTCAAAGTTCCACTTGCAACAAACAAACAAAACAAACAAACAAACAAAAACAGAAATGAAGTAAGAATCCCAAGCCACCATGTTCAATCACCATCTCCCAACACTACCAACACACACTTTGAGTGATGTTTAGGGATAGGTGGAGTTGGAACCTAGTGACATCACGATACCCTCATTCTAATTTTAATACTCACAACATAAAAGCACACTTCTTATTTACAACTGATATGCTCATCTTTTCCTTGTTCCCCTTTCTCTTGGGCCTCAGCCCTAGTAGTAAATAAAACTATAGAATGTAGGGAGAATAGGTGCTGTTGATAACCTTGCATGTTAAATTTCAGGACATGGAAGTCTGTGAGTCAAGCACACTGAAACTGTCAATTCTGTAGAAGGAACTTAAAGAATCCGCTTTTCCTTGTTATCTGTAGCCCTATGGCTCTTTTCTGCCACCATGATTATAAAAGCAACAACAACAACAAAAAAGATTTTTTTCTCAATTCAGAAAGCCAGTTAGAGGCCAAACTGATCAGTGGCCTTTTGAGACTCTAAATGAAAAACTGCAATCTCAAACAAATGCAAAACAAATAGATTGGTGGGGGCCTCTTTATCTAAAGATTGGGTGTTCCACTTTCCTTGAATATTATTAATTGTGTTGAGTAGAAGAGAGTCATCAGAGAATTAAAAGTGCATCTGAGTTTTCTGAGAAATTCTATTTATTCTGAGAAGAAAAAAAACCAGCATCAAACCACTAAATTAAGTGCTTACAAACAGCTCAATGACAAAAACAAAAGGCAGTAGGGTTGCGAATTTGAAATTGCCTTATTCTTAGGAAATTATCATTTAACATGGAAAAAGATGAGGTTTACCATAGCTAATCCTACTGTAGATATTTAATTCACCATGACATTATCAATTATCTCATCGGAGGTTGTTCAGGTATTTCTTGCCATATTTTAACTGCAGGAATATTCAGCGCTATCTCTTGTTCCTTGATTTACAGCCTAATTTACTTGCTATAAAAACACATGTGCTCATGCATTTATCTGTTTCACTAAGCGCCTTGGAACCATTTGTCTGAGCCTATTGCATTTCTTCTTTGCAATGCAAAAAGCCCTTGGATAAACTAAGGGACATTTCACTCCTCCGTTTTTTATTTATGAACCATATCCGAGACACTACACTAATCAGTCCAAAGCCATTCATATCTGATGTATTTTCCTATTCCTTTCATAATCCACCAAGTTTCTCTTTCATCACTTACCATCTGCAAAATACAATCTGCATATTATGATGTGCTCTATTATGATATTCTTTAAGAGTGTTACATATGCAATTTTTATTTGTGTAAGTAAATTTTAAAGTCCTCAAGGACAAGAGCCATTTCTTTGGCTCCTTTCCTGATGTGTGCAAGGTCCAGGTGCATCATACATATTAAATAAATATCTATTGATGAAGTTCAATAGTTGCATATTGATCTAGATATTGCTCACTGAATAAATACTTGCTAGATTATGCTAAGATCTAGAGAGTGTTCTAGATCACACCTTCACATACTTCACGTGTATCACCTGCAGATTTTGAAAACAAAGGTACTAATTAAGTGATATTAGGGCCTTAGATACTGCATTTCCAACCAGGTGTCTGGTTCATGGACCACATTTTAAACAGCAGCAGACTAGACAAGGGTTGTAAAACATTTTCTGTAATGGGCCAAATAGTAAATACTTTACACTAGTTGGGCTGCAGGGTCTCCGTCACAACTAGCCAATTCTGCCTTTATAATACAAAAGCAGCCATAGATAATAAGGAAATAAATAGGTGCTATTGTGTTCCAATAAAACTTTATTTACAAAAACTAGTGTGTAGCCAAATGTGTCTTATAAGCTGTAGTTTGTGTACCTTTGGCCTATGAATCCACAAAAGACATGGGTTAATGAAGTTCAAGCGGAGAGTAGCTATAGCCTTTTACATTCTAAAGTGCTGTAAAATTAAATATAGATTTTCTAGGCACCAAAACATCTTAATCAGGTAATTAGTAATTTGCTTTTGGTTAGCAATTCACCTGATGTAAATTGACCTGGATTGGATCTCTCAAGTTCTGCTAGACTAGCAAAATTAAAAATTGTTAATTTTACAGCGTATCCAATCCATGATGCAGCTGATCAGCCAATTTTAGCTAAGCATATATTATTTTTTGTTCCTTTAATTGTTTTGTGTGTAGGTATTTTTGTTTGTTTTTCTTTAAAAAGATAATGCCCACTTGACTATCCCACCACTAGGAAGCACTTTTATGTGGTTAAGAAGATTTTACTCACTTTATTAGTCTATAAAGTGTCCAAGAAATTAACCCAGTATTCAATTGCCCTGTTTTTCTTTATTTTCTCCTTTGCCTTTTGTAATATTTCCAGGCTGTCCTTTCCACTTTCATTTCCATTTTCAAAAACCCAGTTAAGGGCATGTCAATACCGATTTATACCTCCCAATATAGTTTGGCCGTGTCCCCACTCCGAAATCACATCTTGAATTATAATTCCAATAATTCCCACAATCCCCATGCATTAATGGTAGGACCAGGTAGAGGTAATTGGATGATTGGGGTGGTTTCCCCCATTCTTTTCTCATGTTAGTGAGTCTCCTGATAGCTGAGGGTTTTATAAGCATCTGTCATTTTACTGCTTGCCCTCACTCCACTCTGCCACACTGTGGAGTGGGTGTCTGTTTCTCCTTTGCCTTCTGTCATGCTTGTAAGTTTCCTGTGGCATCCCCAGCAAGGTGGAACTGTGAGTCAATTAAGCCTCTTTTCTTTATAAACGACCCAGTCTTAGGTATTTCTTCATGCAATGTCAGAACAGACTAAAAGAATAAATTGGTACCAGGAGTGGAGTGCTGCTATAAAGATACCTGAAACTGTGGAAGTGACTTAAGAACTGGGTAACAGACAGAGGCTGGAACAGTTTGGAGGGGTCAGAAGAAGACAGGAAGATGTGGGAATATTTTAAACTTCCTAGAGACTTGTTGAATGGCTGTGACTAAAATGCTGATAGTGATGTGGACAATGAAGTCCAGGCTGAGGTAGTCTCAGATGGGATGAGGAACTTGTTAGGAACTGGAATAAAGGTGACTCTTGCTATGCATTAGCAAAGAGACAGGCAGCATTTTGTCCCTGCCCTAGAGACCCAGGGAACTTTGAACTTAAGAGAAATGATTGAGAATATCTGGTGGAAGAAATTTCTAAGCAACAAAGCATTTAAGATGTGACTTGGGGTGCTCTTATAGTCATTTAGTTTTATGCATTCACAAAAAGATGGTTTGGAATTGGAATTTATATTTAAAAAGGAAGCAGAAACAAAAGTTTGCAGAATTTGTAGCCTGATGATGTGACAGAAAAGAAAAACCCATTTTCTGAGAAGAAATTCAAGCTGGCTGCAGAAATTTACCTAAGTAACTAAGAGACAAATGTTAACTACCAGGACAATGGGGAAAATGTCTCCAGGACATGTCAAAGATCTTCATGGCAGCCCCTCTTATCATGGGCCCCAGAGGCCTAGGAGGGAAAAATGGTTTCATGAGCCGCAGCCTGCTTTGTACAGTCTTGGAACTTGGTGCACTGCATCCCAGCCATGGCTAAAAGGGACCAGTGTACAGCTCAGGCCATTTCTTCAGAGGGCACAAGCTCCAAGACTTGGTAGCTTACACATAGTGTTGGGTCTGCAGATGCACAGAAATCAAAAATTGAGATTTAGAAACTTCCACCTAGACTTCAGAGTATGTATGGAAATGTTTGGATGTCAAGGCAGAAGTTTGCTGCAAAGGCAAAGACTTCATAGAGAACCTCTGCTAGGGTAGTGCAGAAGGGAAACGTGGGGTTGGAACCCCCAAACAGGATCCCCAATGGGACACTGCCCAGTGGAAATGTGAGAAGAGGGCCACAGTCTTCTGGACCCCAGAATGGTAGAACTGTGTACCTGGAAAAGCTGCCAGACACTCAATGTTAGCCCAAGAAAGCAGGATGGAGGGCAGCTGTACCCTATACAGCTACAGAAACGAGATGCCCAGGGCCTTGGGAGACCACCTCTTGCATCAGCATGGATGTAAGACAAGGAGTCAAAGGAGATCATTTTGGTGCATTAAGATCTTCCTCCCCTGCTGGATTTACGGCTTGATGAGGCCTGTGGCCTCTTCATTTTGGCCTATTTCTCCCATTTGGAATATGTGTAATAACCTAATGGCTGTATCCTCATTGTATCTAGAAAGCACCTAACTTCCTTTTGATTTTACAGATTCATAAGCCAAAGGGCCTTGCCTTGTTTCAGATGAGACTTTGGACTTGGTCTTTTTGGTTAGCACTGGAATGAGCTAAAACTCAGGGGGACTGTTTGAAAGACATAATTGTTTTTTGAAATGTAAGGACATGAGATTTGGGAGGGGCCACGGGTGGAATGATATGGTTTGGCTGTGTCCCCACCCAAAATTTTATCTTGAATTGTAATCCCCATAATTCCCATAGTTCCCGTGTGTCAAAGATGGGACTGGGTGGAAGTAAT